CCTTTTTTTTTTTCCCCCCCCCCCCCTCTATCTCCTCAGCCCTTTTTCCTACAACTTTGCCCACAATTTTTTTTTCTCTCTCTTTTTCTCTACTTTTTTAATCCAATTTCTGACCACGCTCTCTCGTTACAAAATGCCATGATACACATCGATCCGCAGCACACGCATCCCCCATAGGCCTACGACGGTAAGGTACACGAGGGATGATAACCGCTAATCTCTTCATGGTGAACCCGATCAGACATTTTCTGAACGTAGGTACTGCCGTCTGAGGGATTCAAGTCAGATTAATGGGCTCAACGAATATTAAGGGAGCTTTCACAATGGGCTGTGGAAAGGGCGCAAAAAATAAATTCAAGTGGGCAGAGTACGGGGTGGGGGTGGGGTGGGGGGGTAAAGAAAATGACAATAATAACCGATTCGAGGGTGTGAGGAAGTTGCTGGCTTTCCTTCAGGAAGACTCTGGCACTTTCTACCTTTGATCGGGGAGCGATTTCTCATCGAGATTAAAAAAAAAGAAAAGAGTTTTCCAAATGAGGGACGGAGGGTGACGTCACGTAGACAACGGTATATACATTATTTTCGGGGATTAATTAATTTCTCCCGACTGTCCCGGGAAACGTGGCTGTCAGCGGCGTTTACTCTACCTCGCGGATCCCTGGTATTTACACAGTCGAGGTAAAATCGAGGAAGGACGAGAGTAAGACAATTTCCGGGAGGAATCCGAGAAACGAGAGGCGCGAGTCTCAATCTTCACGGCGTTCGCCGGCGTGAAGTGGGCGTCGCGACGACGCTGTGTGCCAGAAGTGCGGCGCATCGAGAAGCGGAAGTACGCGGAATACAAATCACGCGTCTCTGGCAGACAGTCGAGAGTAGGAAAAGTACATAGCATAGAGGTTACCATGTACGAGCTACGTATTAGATAGATACAAGTTGTTTACGAGTACCTCTTTGCCTTCTTGTGCTCTCTCTCTCTCTCTCTCTCTCTCTCTCTCTCTCTCTCTTTCCTCGCACTCTCTCCCTCTCTCTCGCGCGCACTGTGTACTCTATCTTCCCATAGGCTTACATCGCCAAGCGGCAAAGACGAGTCGCCCCTTAATCCCATTTCGTAAGAACATCCCTATACAGCTATGTAGGGATTATATATATATATATATGAATTTAAGAAACGTCCGCATCAATGAAATGCCGCCTACCGCGAGAACTTTGTCAGATCGTTTCCGAAGTTACGTTTTGCATCCTGCAGTTTACGGGCGACGCGTCTCGTAGCAAGACAGCGCCCCGTGCGGCGAGGCGCCGTAACATTGCTACGATGCGAGAGCGAGAGGAAGCGAAGTGTCGCGAGTCCCTGTGCGAAGTGGCTGGTCGTTGCTTCGTGCTTTTTGGCAAGAGGGTCCCAGCCGACGTCGGCGAGGGGAGAAAGACGCGCGACGTCGCGGCGACAGGGAAGACAACGACAGGAAGCCGGAAGGACCGGCAGACGGTAAGAGAGAGAGAGAGAGAGCGAGCGAGCGAGTGAGCCGAAGAATTCCTCGCAGTAGTACGGACACGAACCTCGGATATCAATCCAACGAGTCAATTGGAAATCGAATGGCGTGAAGTTAGCCGGAGAGAAATATACACGAAATAAGATCGAGAGTTCGAGATCGCATATAAACAGCGGCCAATTGAAAAAGGTAACATTAAATAGGAAACAGGGATTAATAACGCTGGGTGGAGCAACGGACATTGATGAACCCGTCCAAACAGCTCGGGCAGTGCAATAAATCAAGCACGCGTCTCTGGCAGACAGTCGAGAGTAGGAAAAGTACATAGCATAGAGGTTACCATGTACGAGCTACGTATTAGATAGATACAAGTTGTTTACGAGTACCTCTTTGCCTTCTTGTGCTCTATGTCGATCTCTCTCTCTCTCTCTCTCTCTCTCTCTTTCGCAGTCTAGTGGATGCTCGGGCATGACGCGAGAGAATGCAACAAGCCAAGAGACAGTCGGGGCTCCATGGGATCCCACAGCATGTCCTATGACTCACACTAAACCATGTGTTAGGCGCTGTGGAAAAGGGGCACGGAGACTCCCCGCTCTCTCCCCACGAATTCCCTTCCCTCGCGTCAACCACTCCCATATGCAGCAGAGCCAGCAGCGTCGCTTCTCCGCGCTATGTGCTACGACGTGTACCTAGAGAAACCCGAAGCGGCGCAGGGCATCCTGGGTAGCCGGGTACCCATTTTGAATTATCAATTTGAAATCCTCGCGGTGCTGTTTCCATCGATTTTACGTGTATCCGGGTCGGTACGGAATGGGCTTGATTCTCGTCGGTCGGCCTGCTGCGCTTAAGCTATTCTGCGGGAAGCGAGCGAGGCGCTGGCTAAGCACTTCTGTACATGCGGAATACATTGGGGAGCGCGGACGAGGACGAGGATGGCTGCTACAGGGAAGCCTCGGAGCCCCGCTGAATGCCTGCTTGGTTCGTCGGCTTGGCCGAGTAGGGCTCTGCCTTCGTAAACGTCACTGCCAGCCAGCATCCGGAAGCGATAAATAGCGTGGCGTTAACGCGTCGCCCGCGGCGTTAACGCTGACGAGACACCCGTCTCGTTTAAGTGAGTTCAGGGACTCTGAAGAAAGGAGGGACAAAATTCAAAGATATTTTTCTTCGCGAACTCGACTGTATCTTACCGATAAGAGGACGGCACTTGGTAGCTTTGACTCCTGCTAATCTCCTGTCGCGGTCCTTGCCTGAATTTCAAGAACATCGCGCGACTGTATTTATGATCCATGTGTAAGACGGGTATCGATCGGCGCACGTGGGAGACTCATTGGGGGCTGCCAGTCCATAAGAATGGAGTGTGGTAATACAATGCGTTTTATACCACCGAATCAGATACGATACACGTCACGTCAATCCGTGCGAATAACGTTATCGTTGCTTGATTAGTATAAATAACCCGAATGCCACTTTATTATATTTGTATTTTTATCATAAAAATTTTGCGCAAGGTACATTTCTACGAGCTGGCAATTCCGAGTGACCTAGGCATAGGGAATGGTATTTTTTAAACGACCTGTGGCTTGGAAAAAAATTGAAATTTTATTTTTGAAAAAATACTACCTCAAGATTTGATATGTACGTACATCCTGATAGAAATCGTGGAGACTGCACGAGGGCGGTACGCGAAGAGAGATATAAAAAGAGTTAAGCAAAAATGAGACAGACGGGCAAGGGAGAGAGGGGAAAAAAAGAAAAAAAAAGTGAAAGAAAAAAAAAATATATATATATATAAAGGGAAAGAGAATCCATCGATGCGTTCGCTCCGGCAATGGAGAACCGAGAGGAATATCCGCATTGCAGTTGCGCGCTCTTTTTTAAACGTGCCTTTTGAAAAGGCCTAAGCTAATTTACACAGTGGGAAATACATGCCGGGACTAAGACCTCGACGCTGGGCTTACACCTCGAGAATTTACTCTATCGTTTATCTTTATTTTCTACTCCTTTCTTTTTCTCTCTCTCTCTCTCTCTCTCCTGAGCTCCCCGTAAACACCGGTGAAAACGAACAGCCACGCTCCGGCACGGTTAGCACGAGGCAGACCCAACTCTTCGCAGAGCGCACGGCGAAGACAAAAGAAATAAATAAAGAGAAGGATCTATTGCAGGAGCCGATTGTGCCAATATAGAGGCACAATAATTACACATGTAAATTTGTATGTATCAAAATCTAAAAATAATATAAAAAATATACATCTAAGTCATACGTCAAAGCTCGAACAGCGTTAAGCCAAAGCCTGACTCACAAAGGATAACAATAGCAAGACTAACCGCGTTCCGAGTATTCCGAGCTGCTCGACGTGGACACGTAAAATTGAGGATATTCGCGAAAAGCAAGGTGCACGAGAGGCCATGATATTAATAATAATATTCCCCGATACAGATGCTATACGTGCATCTAAATCCTAAGAGAATATTTGTTAGACCATAACAGTCGCTTCTCGCGATCTATGAGATTTCCGAGTGATCGAGGTAGGTCAAAGAGAATTGAAAATTATGACGAAAATCCCATTGAACGCTTGCGATGCCCATATACATCCGAATTATTGGAGACTGATAGTAAAATAAAAATGTTGAACTATGACGTATATAGCTTTGCTCCCACAACGAGCAAAGAAAAGGCCAAAGCCACTCGCAAACTTTATCGCGAGCCGAGTTTGTTCTGCGGTGACGAAATTTGCTTTTTAAAGTGTATTACGACGCACAGGGCTGCGATCGCTCTCGATGTTGACGGCCGACGATTGAGAGTGTGCACAGCCATGTCGACACTATGGGGGCTCGTGCTTATACACGCGCGTGTATATATATATATAGGGCCTGTGAAGTATATTTTTGGAAAACCCACGTATCCAACGTTAAGCGAACTTTTACACGAAACAATGACTAATACCAGCGATACCTATACGCGGGTACGTTGGCGGCATTTGCGCCGTTCCGTCGCTGGTTGTGAACCGATCCAAAAGAAAAAGCCAGACGAGGTTTAACGAACGCGCGAGAACAAAGCGTTGGCCACTACGGCAGAAACACCAATTCGCCGTGTACGAGTGATTAGCTGTTCGGGCAGAGGCGACCACGGCGTATAAGGCAATACGAAGTTCGGCGTATTTCCCGAAGGTTTTAACGTGGGCGAAATAAAGGGAGGATACAGATAGGAAGAAGGAAAAAGAAAATGCGTGTCGCGCGGAGGCAGGATCGATAACGTTGGCTACTCGTACCCGAGTGTGACTCCGGTGTTTCTTCTCAGGAAACGTTGTGACTCTCGGTTATACCTCCTATTTATATATTTCATCCCTCGCGTGTTTTTCAGCAAATTTATTTATTTTTTCTTCTTTTCTATCTTTCGTGTTGTCACAGAGATTCGACACGCAACGCCGTTCTCGAGGAACCAATGGAAACGCGATGGACTCTCTTGCCTGTCTCCATTAATCTCCATTGGTACTGTTCGCAGCTACCGATTACGTCATCAATATTATATTAGTTTTTAATTACGAATCGATCGCTCTGAAGTCAGGTACGATCGAAACGTACGACGCGAAGTTCATGCGGTACGGAATCGGAGAGTAAGTTGGAGGTATATTCGGAGTACTCGTGTAATGCCGTCAGCCATTTGGAAATGAAGGGGTAGCCTAGAAATTTCGAAGCTGTTATTATTAATCTCGAAATATACCGAAGGTATTTTGGACGTGTATAGGATCGATTTTGAATATTCGCTAAATATTTCGATCGATTTTCATTTTGTACCTTGCTCTAGACAGTTTCGTACGATTTCTCGGCTGACGACGTGGTACTGGGATAACGTGAATAATAGCGAGGGGCGGCAGGGGGGGAGGGTTAGTTATCGCGGTAAAATCTTTACCAATTATAATTGGATCTTCCTGTGGCTGTGCTCGTTGCCGAGTTATACTGGCAAATTTTGTCATAATATGACGGATTGATTCGGGCTAATTGGAATGATTAGCGAGGCAGCGATGGTTGCGGGTCGCGAGGAATGCCGTCGTATTAATTTGAGTAAATAAAGGGCTAGGCTTTAGAAGGGAGGAACGGTCCTTTGTGTGGATCTCTATAATGCTGCCATGTATTCCGAATGGCCCTGTAGCAGAGTGCCCAGGGTAGATAGAGTAACCGCGTAGAATGGTCTCAAGTAAAGAAGGGTCTCTTCAGGATGCGTACGCAGGAATGCGTAAACCTTAAACCTCCTTTATTCATCAGCAGCGTAGCGCATATCCTGATACGGATATACCGGAAGTGGTTGAAGATACTTTTGACAGCTGAGAATGATCGTGGAACTTTGATCCCATCTCTCGTTGCAGTTTCGAATTTAGGAGGCGTAGAGAGAGAGAGAGAGAGAGAGAGAGAGACAGAGAGACAGAGAGAGAGAGTATCGGTACCTTGTAGTTTGTACTTACCGTACAAGATAGCGTAGAAAAGTATAGAAATGGAGAAACAAGCAATGGAGTAAAGTTTTTCACAAGTTCGATATACAGCGAGAGAATAAATTCGATCGTATGTTAAATAATGCAGAGGCACTCACGAGAGATTTAAACGAATTTTTCACGAGCAAAGTAAGTATCCTCGGTCTGGAGAATATCTATAGAACGAGCAGGAGAATCGACCGAACACAGGGAACGAATTAAGTTCACGATAAGAGTAATTTGCCTGAAATTCAATACGACTTATGAGAAATGACCTGGGTTTTTATAGGAATCTATAATTTAGGTTCCACCGAAAATGCCCGTTTACGTTTAATCCTACTAGGCAGATCGATAGCGTCAAGAGAATTAGTTTTAAAAAAAACTCGAGTAAGGGTAGTAACCACGGCTGTCGAGGACTCCTGCTAAGGTTCATCGATAATGCTTCCTCCTCACGATTCGAATAGAATTTAAGGACATTTCTGTATGATCATCGATGGTGCGATTTAATGGAAACCACAGAATGGACATATGTCCTCTTTCTATGTGAGAGGCAGGAGCATCAACCCGCAAGCCATTTGCTTCTATCTGACTGCGGGGTAAATGAACCCCGTGTAGGTGCAGGGGAGAGAGAGAGAGAGAGAAGGGGGAGAGACAGAGAAAGAGGGATAAGGAGAAAAGGCTGTCCAGTTACATAAAAAGACAATGTAAATCGAAAAATGACACTTACCGATGCAGTCGATACGAATAGATGCAGCTGATAATTATCGTGCAGCGGGATCCTTTCGTTTCCAGTATTACGGGACGATAACCAGGAGGATTGTAGAAGACCAAGAAGGGCTGACGAGAAGGGCAGCATAACAGAAAATCACCCTCGCAAGTCCAACCGAATCTTCACCCGTTTTGAAGTCCTTCCTTTCCTTATTTGGGCAGTCACTTTCTTCGAAGCGAAAACAGCTTTCTTGCTTCACACGAAAGAGACACAGGACAGGATCACAATTCCAGCGAGGATTTTCTTTCTTCTTTTCTCTCGTCGTTTACTACGAGAAAGACGTGACTGTGTCGGTTTACGGGGTAGGGTCTATTAAGGGATCAAACGAAAAAGGAATTACAGACGCGCGTTCGAGACACCACGATGTATCTCTCGAGTCTCCCCGACGCTTTTCTCACCTTTGGGAGGGGGCAAAAAAATCGCACGTCACACAGGATATATTCTTCGCGCGACGCGACCAACGGACCACCACCGAATCGATGTGTGGATGTTACACTTCCCAGCTGTCTTTTTTGATTCTGCGGATGTGACCGACCGCACTGCCATCTAACGCCGGCGACCAGAATCCTCTGAGTTCGTTCACGAAACAGGAGACCGGTTAGAAAATCACGAAATCAAATAAAGTTCTTTTTGGATGTCACCGATTTTTTTTTATAATAATTCTATCCTCTTTACTAGATTCACGATTAATTTATTCACGTAGAATTATTTTTAACGACTCTGCATTTTCTCTTTTGAACTCCGTTGGAAATAATGGTTGACCGTTTGACTAGCGTAGTGCCTGGAACGAGCATGATCGTTAGTGTTATGATTTTCCAGATATAAGATATTACTGAAAAGGAGATAGATGGGATCAGATGAGATGAAGAGGAAATGAGATGAGATGATTCATTCGTGACCTAGGTTAATGCAAATGAGAAATTATATTAACGTTAAAGTGATTGCAGGCAAACTGAAGTCTTGGATATTGGATCTCTACGTGCTGTAAGAATGTCTTCCTCTGATATTCTCTTATAATTTCCAATATACTTTTATTTGCGTATGCTTCATTCTCGCGTAACATAATATGTGTTGCATATAAGAAGGAAATCAGCATCATCATCTCGTAGCCTTAGCTTAATTTATTACAATATCTAATGCACTATATGCGTGCTCCGAAACGTCACCATATTATCATTATTAACATAGTAAATAGTAATAATGTAATAATTTAGATTCCTATGGACACTCAAACATCAATTCATCAATAGCTTTACAGGCGCAGTCGATGGACCCTGGAAAGTCCCTCTACTTAATATTATTATACATCCTTTGTCTTATTCATTCTTTTATTTCATTTTATTTTTCTTTAATATTCTTTTTCATCCTCCACCACCTCCTCTGATCTTAATCCACGTTCCTCCCTACATTCCATGATATTTACACGCATGTCGAAGCAAAAAGTTTACCTGATTTTTTCAATAAAACTTATATCGCCATAATTCTAACCCGATAAAGTTTTCGTTCGACCAACAGGTCATTCCGTATTGAATAAAAATCCAAAGAAAACATTAGAAAATCCAACAGACACACGTCTTTAGCTATTTCCTTTGCAATTGGGAATAAAAAGAGACGGCGGTGGCTCAAAGGATACAACCTAGTACGTGCCCTAGTGGCCTCTAAAGTCTTTCCTAGAAGTATATCTTAAGGTTTTTCTTATAGTATAGGTATAGTACTCTCTTTCCTTCTTAGATTGCAGAAGAATCCGTACGAAGATAGAAGAGAAAGCGGTAAATGGGACTGTGAGTAAAGAAGCAGAGTAAAACGAAGTAGTTTCCTGAGTAGAGTGGAGAGATAAAAGAAAGACATGTGTAGAAGATATGCAAAGTGTCGCCAAATCGCAAACTGTTAAAGGACGGAAGTGTAACAAGCGTTTACGCGTATAATTAGATGTATTCGCTTTGTTCTCTCTATAATCTTTAAGACATTACGTGGTCAACGTGGGGGACGTATTTTTTCATTGATTAGAAAATAACGAAATATACATAAAGTCAGGATGGAATGTTAACGTCCTTCACGCAAAATATTTTCACGTATCGTCAGTAATTTATCAATAAATCCATCCTTCCCCTGAGAGATTAATTAATCAATCGACACTTTGTCTTATAACGAAAAATCATTCATTAGCCTTGATACGCGGCTACGATAAATACTATATTGTATCCTAGGGCGAAGTTCATTGAAGAGAAAAAAAATAAGGGTTTGGCCGGACAGTTAAGCGAATAGTCATAACAGTGCAATGCGTGCTCGTCTATGTAAAAATCAGCAGAGCGAGAGTAATAACAAGTTTTTCGAAAAATTATATCAAAGCCAAAAAAGTAAATATAAAGTAAAGGGCGAGCCACGATTCCTAATTACGTCGCTTCTTTTCTTACACCGTTCACAATTCTGCGACTTCTCATTCAATAAATACGTATTCCTCTCTGCCATCGCTAATCATCATACAACTCACGAATTAAAAATGGCGCGCGTTTCTTTCGTTCCGTCGTGAAAGCGAAAAGCGTCTCTAGCTCAGGGTACTGCGCAATACAATTACAACAGCCGAATGCGGGCGTCGCTATCCTGCGAATTATTATTCTTTTTATAAATTTTTTATGTACAACTAGTGCGCGCAAAAAGTCTTGCCTCGCGTTCGAGAAAACAGAAACACGAAGAAAGGACGGAAGGGCCGAAGTTCATTCTACGGAGAAGCGTAACGCGCGCGCCGTTCTCGTATCATATTAGGGGAGAAAGAACACGGAGAGATATGCAGACAGACAGAACAGGACAAACCGACAGTGAGACAAACGGGAGGACACAGCAGAACGTTAAGAGACAAAAAGAAAATGGAGAAACCGTAGAAAAAGCAAAGCCAATGATAGGAGAAAAAATTCCCCAAATGAATTTTGCGTGAGATCCTCGTAGATTTTCACAATGGAATACACGAGGATCGCTTCGTTGCTTGTGACGTCACGTATCACAATCCTACGTGTCCTCATAACGCCGCCTTATTTTTTACGTTTATACTACGTGAGTTCATGTTACGTAATCCGTGTTAACGTAATGTCGCCATTGTGAGGATAAATGCGTGAGCGGGTGTCGCGTGTGTCCGTGCACATAGACGTATATACATATATATGTATATATATATGTGTGAATATATATATACTTCATTCTCTCTCTTCCTACGTATGTACATTATATTACAGGTATCATCATGAAAAAGGGTATCTCGCGCTAATCAACCCCTGCGAATCCCTGCGAACCCTCGATCGCCTTTATCAGCTTGTCCCGCAGCTGCTGATAACTTTCGTAAGGTGGTAGATCGATGCGATTAAAGCTGAAAGAAAGAAGAATTTACAGAAATATATCATTAGAGATTTAATAATAAATGAACCGTAATGCAGCAAGAGAGAGTAGGTAGCTACTTTAATTGACTCACCATGTATGAGCTCGGGGATAGTTATTCGGAGTACCCCATTTCTCAATGGTGAATAACTGGGGTCCATTGCTGCCGTACAACTCCTTAAAACCGTTCATCGGCACCCTGGACGTTCCAGTAACAAACTGAAGCAACCTTGCTCGCATCTCGTTACTGAATGACAGTACAACACGCCAAAACCACTGGACGGTTATGTGATTAGCGTGATAGTCACCCTTATAGAGGGTGTTCTGCTTCCAATCTTTAACGTCTATATGCTGGATACCACACATGAGAAGTTCCAATTCGTTCTCGTCGAAGATCTTGACCAGGGTCAGTGGTACGAGGGCATTGAAACCCTCGAGGAAGGCGTTCATCTGATCTTGGACTCGTGAGACAAACCTCCATTGTATCACAAGGCTTATGTACTCATCTTTATTCTCGTCCGTTAAAGGAATGTTCGCACCGTTTAACTTAAGCTCCCTCTGGGAGGTGTGTCCGAAACTCTCCTCGTCTACGCAGAAGGTCAACTCCAATTCGCTGGGGTCATTTTCCTTTATCCAGAGGAGAGAATTGTAATATTCTGAATCGACGCTCTCCATGTCCTTCAGGTCTATTGTCTTGCCCAGCATCATCTTATAGAAGGGTCTTATGAAAAAGGCTGAAAGAGGAAGAAGTGAATGACTCTTATCAACTATTGGAACATACTGTAAGTATTAGACGAATATTGAAGATCCTACGTCTTCCTGGAGACGCGTTATTCGTGTACGGAGTCAATCTCAATTGGCAAAAAGAGTCCTTCGAGTTTGATGAGAATCTGTATAGAATATACTAACCGTCTAGTAACTTTCCGTGGTAAACTGCCATTCCGGCTATACGCCCAATAAACTTGAAATAGTTGAGATGCTCCTCGTTACAGACGCCCGAGAAGGGATTAATTTGAAGTGTATAATTATCCATTGCTGAATACTCGAAGAGTCCATAGTACGGATTGAACATTTCCTTGGAAAGTAGGAAAAACCATTCTCTTGCAAGACCACCGTAGTCTAATCCAACTTCGCCTTCGAATTCTACCCATAATTTTGTCTTGAGAATTTCCACCCTGTTTACTGAGCTGATTATACGGTACGAGTCCTCCAGAATGTTCGTTCTGCCCACTTTAATCTCAAATTTGTTTGGTACGTTACTCTGTACACAAGATATGGAGAGATTCAATCAATTTGAAATAAAAAGACAAGTTAAAATCTCATGCAATAATTATTTGATTTACTCACAGGCTTCCTTAATTGAGATTTGAGATATTCGTATTTGCGTTTGTAGTCCCTTGAGTAAGGTACAGCCTAAAATAAATTATTTTATTGTGAAATGCATGACTTTTGTAATAGCAATGATTAAATTAATTAATAAGATACTAACCGGACCAGCAATCTGTGGATTGGACATTCGAGGATCTTCCCATTGTGTTGTTCTTGTATCTGGATGAAAGTATAATAAAATATTAATTTGAATATTTCTTATATGATGTTATTTTTTTCAAGTGATCGAAATTACTGTGATCTATGAAGAATATACGGCCGTCCGTATGGACACGTTCTTCCCAACCCTCAGGAAGTGGTCCCAGCTGATCAAGATCACTCCTAGGGGTAGCTGACGGTGCATTATGACTAGGCATAGGACTAGCCCTGCCTGTTCGAGGATCTACCCAAGTGGTGGCACGTTCGTTGTGATCGATGAAGAACATTCGGCCATTTGGAGCTAGCTGCATACTCCACCCTGGTGGTAAACCATCTCCATTGGGTGCTGGCACAGTGGGTACCTTAGGGCTTTCAATCTAGAACAAAGAAAGTAGCATATCATTATGAAATTAAATGGGGTATTGATTCTACACATAAAATATAAAATATATACCTGCTCCGATGATCTCCTGGAACCTGCAGGACTGTCTACGTTGTCGTCACTCTATAGAAATAAGTTTGACAAGGTTCTTGATTCGCATTCACTCAATTATATATCATTTAGCAGAATGGCTAAAGCACAGCACAGGAAATTTTTCTACAAAAAGTTAATCAACTGCCGCATGCTTTACAGGATTCAATCTCTTATAAGTCCAACAAGGGATGCATGATTTTTGTAAGAAAGCTCATGGAGATGGAAAAGCAAAGTAGGTAGTGATTTAATTAATGGATAATACCTGGTCATCACATTCAGCCAGGTAGCCATGCTGATCGACAGAGCGTCCGGAATCAGAAGATGCATCCCCATGAAACCCAACCCCACTTTCACCTTCACCTTCACCACCCTCATTATCATGCCTCGTCTCTTCAGAATCTTCATCCTCCTCACGAGGGACTTCACCATCCTTATACACACATGCACAATTTTTCTACATACTGCATGCTGCTTGGTTACCACAATTTAATTGCCACTCTGGCTCAATTAAATATTGAAATTTAGAGCCAAGATTAATCAATTGAGTTAGAATAAATTTGTATTCCCTTCTTTAGACTAGGGAACTATAATTTTTTCAAAGTAGTCACATCAGTCGATACATGACACTAATTTTAGATATAGAATAGGTTAGTGACACTAGATTAGGCAGTGATATGTTATATGGACCACGCATGCAGGATGTAATTTTAGAATGCTGCAATTGCATGCTAAGTTAATTCAGCTCCCACTAGATCGTCATAATGTCATGTACCGGTTTATCCAAATTTTATGTATAGCATATAGTATTAAAAAAACAACTAGTTGTTCAACCTGTCCTTCTACCAATTTTTGCTTGTTAATATCGACAAAGATTCACAAAGAGAACATGAAGGAATACGAAGATAACATACCTGACTAATAGCGGATGTTCTACTGTGTCTACTTTCTGCGTCATCTACGCTAATGTGAAATCGTCTCTGGAATTCAGTAGCAGCTGTATCCAAATTTCGTTGCTCATGTGTAACACCATCCACCCTCGCCACATTCCTTGATTAAAAAAAAATATATTTATTATTTAACGCACCCGAGGGATTTCTCTGCTGTTTCACGGTTATGTTGATAGATCAACAAATAATATTACTCACGTGACTGTTGGTCTTTCCCATTGCGTGAACCGAGCTACGTGATTGACGTAATACGTTCGGCCATTTGCATCCTGCCTCTCTTCCCAACCTGGCGGTAAAGGACCGTTTACCAAAACAGCCTGTACGGGAATAAAAAAAATATTAAAAAATAATCATCAGTACTTTTCTTACATTCATGTAGAAAAGAAATTATTTTTTATACCTCTGCGGGTTGCTCGACGGGACTGTTGTTTGATGTTGGGGTTGGTTGTTCCAACAATTCCCAACCGCCAGAATCTGGAGCATTCTCACCCTCTCCCGTGTCTATCCCTGGGGAATCCGATATGTATGCATGGTAGACCTCCAAGGTGCCTTTGACTCTGGATCGCTGACTGGAATGATTACTAAGCCATGTCCTCGCACGTTATTAATTATGCAGTGTGCAAATCAAGTATAAAAGTAAATAATAGCGATTAGGATTACTCGAGAGATGATTAATGTGCCATGCATTTGTACTCGAAATTTGTACTTTAAATTATTAAAAAAAAAAAAGTGACTATCACCTGTGCATGCACAAGAAATTTCGAATGTTTGAGGTTCTAGCAGAGCAGAAGCGAATCTCGAGTATTGCGCTATTCAAGAGTAAACAACAGTGTGAGAAAAAAAGCCTGGAGCCTCGTAGGAACTTACCTACGCGGTCGTAGAATATACTGTTTAGCAGGAATGTCCCGTCCTTCTTGTTCTTTCGGTAAATTTATTAAAGTCAGCTCCACCATTCCAAGAAAATCATCCCGTGTCAATCGGTTTTCATCAAACACTTGTAGCACCAGTTTATGCTCGGCTGGCTTCACCTGCGTGAGTTATTGTTAATTAATTGGAAAATATGTATTTTACAATCGTTCGGGAAACTTACTCGAAAAATAAATTCCTCCTCCCACACAGGATTGAGTGTCTTCTTTTTAGTTTTCGTAAGGGCCGAATCCACCGTTTCGTCGCCATTTATGGTGTTCAAGTCGACTCGTACGTACGGATCGCTTGCTCCAAAAATATCCTTCTTGGCAAGCTGGTGTCCTGCTATGACTTTTAACCTCAGCCTGTTTGTTGCCTCATCTCTCTAAAATACATATAATTTTATTAGAGCATGTTCAAAGAATCAAAATTCCCATTTCAAAATTCAACATCGACAATTTCGAAGTAAATTGATACATGATCTCACAATGTGTCTTGGTTAGTGCATTTTTTTGGTTCATAATAACATCTATTTGAACGGGTGTTATCAAGAATACACTGTGACGCAATAGCACCATAGTTATGGGGGTTATGGCAACAGAAGTATGAAATTTAACGAGCGATAAGAAAATTTAACGAAAAAATGCAAGAGAACGATGAACATTCAGAAGAAATAATAAATTTCAATCGTTACATAGTCACGAGTTAAAAAACGATAAAATCATTTAAAATGATCACACTGTTGCTCTGCCAACACACCATGAAGCCATGAGGTATAATGAAGTATATATAGATATATACAGAACTTGTGAAAAAACATGTAAAATAAAATGCCGAAGAAACGTAAAAACAAAAGAAATATCATTAACTGATAGCAATGCATCGTAATCGATAAGTAACGGCAGCAGTAATTATATTTCTGGCAAGACAGAAATATGAGATACGAGAATATACAGTGGATATGAGTGAACAGTTTAGTCAAAAGTCATTGGCAACGAAAGCTAATTAGAAATAGACATTATTGAGATACAACTATGAGATAGTAGTGTACACGAAACGATAATAAATTATCAGTACAGTAGAAGGCGGTACGAGTAAAATGCTGTGCGTGGACATGATGAAAAAAATCGAGCCCTTGGCACTTGCTGTTGGAAACCCAACCTGTACTTGTCAAACTGTCAAATGTGCTACGTACGGGATCTCCGTCGACACCGGGCGTGGGACTGTATCCGTATTCATGTTCCTCTGCCATTAACGTTAGGTGCTGTAGAGCGTGGGCCAACAGTCGACAACACAGTTTTTCGGAATAATCGCGAATTACACTATATTATCTGCCATCAAGAAGCCTGTTCCGTCTTAACCCCACTCCGTGTCTAGTAACACGAGCGGGACGGATGTGACACACTAAAATAGAAATATGGCCGCCACCTTTCGCACTACCTCGTACAAATGAATACTTTTTCGTATATTCTGGAAGGATCTTTGACTGTGCCTTAAGCTCAATTTATACGGTACGATTACGGGATATGGTTTAATATATTTTCTTTAATTGTAAATTGAAAAAATTGGCCATTTCCGTTAAGTAAAATCGGAGCACGTGATTACGAATTTTCGAATGGCCTTGCCTATTGAGTGACAATGGCTGCCGCTATATGCGGACTAACATAAATTTCTCTTTCTAAAGAAATTCTCATGCGCTTCGCGTTCCTTCAGCTGTTTATCATACCCATGTCGTATTTTATATTTGTGTGTCATTCTTGGGACGTTTCAGCCATTATATTGGTACTGTTGTTTTTGAGTAAACGGTAGATCTGTAGGTCAGTAGCATGGCCCTGAGAGTGAGTAGTGGTTTGTTCATCTCAAAAAAGATGTCCTTCTCTTACAGTCAAATATCAAGGATATTCGCGATGGATTAAATAAATACCAGTTTCTAATCATTGATATCAATGACAATCATATTAATAGAATCATGATTATATCTTATATGAACGAATCGAAGAGTTCGATTCCAATGTGATCCAGTGGCAAAAGCATGAGATTTCAAACAACAGGAGGATTAAGAAGCCTGATACATGCATTCACACGCCACGCCTATTACTGTCCTTTACATAAGTAACCTCATCCACAATCAGAATTCCTGGAATAGCATTTACTTCAGTTATTGAGATAATGAGCACCCAGTGATCCAGATTAATAGATCAATAATAATCATCGAAGTGATCAGGGTCTCTTTTTCGTTCTACGTTATCTTCAGACTGCCAAGAGACAAACTAATAATAATAATAACAATAATGGATTGCTGTTTCCAGACGGTGATTCTTACCGGAGACTCTACCAAAGAGAGACGTCCTAGACGAGCAGCTGCGTGTTCCTGAATCGCAGATGATCTTCTTCGTGCATTCCAGGTGTTGGCTCTTCGTCTAGGAGGCGGTTGCTCAATGCCGGCGTATATGGGATACGTTAACGTGGCTGGCATCCTCCTTTGTTTCTTTTGGCACTTCCTTTGTTCTCGAGGTTGCCTAAGTACCACCACACTGTCATTACAGTTCGCCGGAGCTCTTTTCGGGAGCGTCTATCACTGGAGAAGTCACAGTCGCGGATAACCACGATAACGGAAGACAAAGAAAAATTTAGAAACTACAAGATAGACGTCCGACAAAACTCTGAATAGATAACGCGATTGTTTTCCAATTTGAATTCATACTCAGTATAAATACTATTGGTATGTGATTTAACCGGCGATGATCTCGATACGTCGTGACGCACTCCAACACGCTATCCCGTGACAATTAAAGAAAAGGAGAATGAGTTAGGTCTCATTTTCTGGAACAGCAGTATCCAATGAGAAATATTCAACTCAGAGCAACTTAAAGATAACAAGAAAAACAGCTCTAAATCAATGTGCGATAAGGCATATGAGCCTTGCTGTCATCTGGCTGACTGATTTTCAGAGTTTGGACAATTTTTTTATTCCTCTTTCTCCTTGCCATCTATACTTCGCCACCATGTTAATCTGTTATGGAGACAAGGAACAGACGGAACGTCGTGATTACGTTTACATTAATAATTCTTTTCTTAACTTAGAACACGAAGTCAAGGCGTCAGATGTAATTAACTTTCTCCATCAAATGTGTACGATGATGTTTCTTAAGTCGATAATGAACAAATCGTGTTTCTTAAGTGAAAAAAAAAATGGATATCGCAATGTACTGAACCGACTTCTTTCACCGGTCTTTCTCTGTTGCACGGATTAGCTAGCAGAGGATATTATCACGCGATACGATACGTCTCTTGCGCTTCGAAATGCAATATATAAAATCAGGATTGTATAAGGAACTGCTGTTTAACAGTTTGTTAACAAGAAGCCAAGGCAGCGTACGCCTCACTGCGAACCGTTTGCCTTCGATGTCTTAACGAATCCACTTGGTCTTATCAATTCTTCCTCAGCGACAAACATTATATAAACGCAATTCCCGTGCTACTATACGGCGCATTTCTATGATCGTACGCAGTTAGATTGACTAAATATCGTTGCGCTTTATACATTCCTCTGAATATGATGGTGCACGCGTCTAAGCACAATCGTTATTAATGAGTATCAATCGATGAATTTTTTTATCGCCGAAGAGACGTCACGGGATTACGATAACGTGCGACGGACACAAGTAAAAAAAAAAAGAAAAAAAAGAAATTCATGCCGAATAACATATAATTTCAATAAATAATCAAATAGCGTTGCGCTGATTACGAATTAGAAAAATTAATAATAAAAATTAATGAAATTATAACGATACTTTATAAACTATCGCAAGCATAGTGCTATCTCGCGTATAAATTTTTTATATTTTTAATTTTCAATTGGACGATCTACGATTATTAAAATTCTTGAATCGATCGGTATACCACTTAAAAAATTGCGTTGATGGCGATCGATTCGAGCATCGCAACGGCGAACAGGATTAATACACGTACTGATCACGTTAGATGCTTTCAGTAAACTAAAGTACAGGTGAAGTCGAGTTAGCACAGACGCACTACGCGCTGCTACTTAATTTATGCTATAAATTCAGATCGTGTATTCGGCCGACCATGGAGGAAGAATGACTTCCTGAATTAGAAATGCGATGCTCAGTCGCATTGCGACCAGCGGGAGGTGGAAGTCGAGAATCGCGGCCGACGCACATGGAAACGAACTTATTTAGCGAAAATGTACAATTATTATTTACGTATTTCCTTTCACTAACGTCAAGGGACGTCCAATCTGTTGGATGCGTTACAAATCGACGATTAAGTAATAAATAAAAAACAAAAAGAAATGATCCTGTCTATCAGGCACCATTGCGCGAGACAGGCTACGATCCTAATTAAATTTGTGAAAATCTATTTTACGTTTTTTTTTTTTTTACAAATTGATATACATTACGGATATGCAAATGGGAAATGAACAGTGAGCATGTGAATAAATGGTGACAATGAAATGGGCGTATGGGAGTCGTGATAAAAATAAATAATATCGGTCAAGAAATTACTAAGACCCGGCGAATGACATTAGACACTAACGTTCCTGGTACAGCACCTGCGCATTAATTCTCTATTAATTGAGACATAAGTCACAAGTCCTGATAGATTGTTTTATTAAAATAGGAAAGTCATTAAGACGTAATTAAAAAAAAAGGAATAAGGAAGATCGTAGAAGATCCGTTGCTTATTCGTGAATTATTTAGCCAAAATTGTGGGGACTAAAATATAAAGAGGATACAGAGGTGGGGAGAGAGTTGTGGAAAGAGGTGGGGAGTCGAGAAAGTCCGTAAGAAATAATCAGCCGGTTAAACCTTTAAAAATGTCCTCAAGATGACGCGCTACACATGTAATCAACGATTAAAAAACATAAGGACACGATATACTGACGAAAGACAATGATCGGTCACATCAGGATGGTTAACCTCATGGATAAGCCAATTTGCAAAGATTTGAACTTTACGAGTATAGCTATACGATCTTATCACGAGGTCTATGGTACCCTTATCGAGGTCACGTATCCCATAGGAATCTGCTAGGAGCTATTGGAATGCAGAGGAATGACAAATTTTGGTCCGAACGGGGACCTGTAGGTGATACCGACGTCGGAGAAGACCTTTGCAGGTAGAGCCAAGTTGCACAAGTACAGTCGGCCATTGTCAGTGCTGTGCGACAGAGGTAAACCTCCTAGGAGGCTGAATTTCGATATGATACCAGGGGTGCCCGATGACGGAGGTTCGATAGCCAGGATGGGTGCCCTGTTACTGTTCGCCCATTTTGCTACAGCTGTCACGGTTCTTGAAGAGTTTTCCTCGCACAGCGCTACCAGGATGAGGTCTACGACGCTGGGAAGATTCTTGACCTTACTTTCGACTTTGTTACCGGTGAGTTTGTACAATGATAACTCCTGGAGGAGGAACACGTCTTCGGAATTTTCGATGTAGACGACAGTCTTCACTCCGTGACTAGATAGTTGACGTGCACAGTTGACACCTGCTGCTCCGGATCTATGAGCACCGCACAGGGCCACCACCGTTGGCCATTGATGAGCATTATTAGGATTCAGTCTGTGTGCCCCACCCAGGAGCTGAAGGATTATTTCTGCACCGGCACGACCCAAGAGCTCAACCTGTGGATGAGGTGAAATATTTCAATTTGATATCGACCTAAGCAACTCGTGGATAAAATTATTGCCATACTCTGCGCTCCCAACTAATTCCCAATCGATCAGCTGCTCCTATCAACTGTCGATGTAGTTCCAGGGTGATGCTAGGTATCACGAGACCGTCATCCGTTACGTATTCACGGATATCAGCGAATGGTACAACAATCTGACGGAAAGCCGTAGGTTCGGACTCTATTACGTTTTCATCGTGACGATATTTTGCACCGCCTGGACGTATATTTTCAGACTGACGAATTATGTCCGGTTTGAGAGAGTTTATTTCCTGCCACACAGCCTGCGAATATTGAATTTAATTATTTTCCTTGATTTCTAGCCATTCGATGTACTTACTTCTTTGTTGAAGAGCGCCAGGTTCTTCTCAAAGTCAAAGTCCTGCTTCAGTGACTGGTCTATCGGTGTTCCAAATGCCTGCTCATCTCTTTCCAGCCATTTTTGTCTCTGTGATATTCTCTTTTGTTGACTGGACTTCACTCCGATTTGCTCCATACTGATCTTACCGTTGGACGACGATTCTGTGTTTGGCTGACAGTAATCTTTTTTAGAACTGTTTGACTGCGGTTGACCAGGTATAGGAATTGGTTGATTCATAGGCGGAATGCACTCGGAAACTGATCTACCGGCTCTTTTTGCTATTGGCCTCTTCACTGCGACTTTACTTTGTGTTTGTATATCTCGGGAATTCGACGCAGCCTCCTCTGTCGAGATGATCTCGATGTGTAGAATATGTTTAGCACTGCAATGAAATTCGTATAAAGTAAATAAACAATATTATTAGGTGTATAAATAATATTGGCACCAACTTACTTTAAAGGGACTTGTCGGGCCGGATGTGGAATTCCATTGCAAAATGCCTTTTCCAAGGTGACAAACTGACTGTCCAAAGCCACGATTTGACCCTGGTAGGTATCACACCCCATGGATTCTTCATATTTGATAGAAACCATACATCCCAAGAATTGCTCAGACATTTTACTATTCTGCGAATACAAAATATAAAGAATTATACATTACAGTACAGATTGGAATTTAAGAAATATAATTCAACGACTCCAAGGTGCATTGGTGCTTGAGCGTTTAAATAAATACATGCCAGGTACACGAGGATAGGTACACGAAAACATAATCATTATGTTTATCAAGGATTACAAAACTGTGTATAAATAATATTCACCTAATTTTATCGTTTGCCAGTCCAGAGTACCTCACGTCCACTTAAAGCCTTGCTATCATTCAATAAACTTCTTAGTAGAAACACGAATAAAATCTTTATTGAAAAGTTCTGTTAGGTTAAAACGAACATTTTTCGGAGCGATCAACCACGAACCAAACGGTTCTATCTAGATGGGACAGAAGAATGAGTATTTGTACCCGCTCGGAATAACGGTAAACGGGGCTTTGGGTACGTTCCGAAATTCACTGTCAGTAACTACGATTATCGTCTTGTCTCAGTTTACCTACAGGTATCTGAGTGAGACACAACTATACTTGCAGTACTGGCAATGAATTTCGACACGTACCCAAAAGGTTTATGGTTTATGTTATATCGTTGTCAGATCCACAGTCACGGCGACATAAAAAATTGGTCGCTCACTTGAATAGTTGCAAATACTTGTTTGTAAACGATAAAAACATGAAGGCTGTTAATAGCTTTTAACTCAGTGCCTAGCAGAACACACCGGAAACGTACAAAATGTTACGAAGAAGATTTGTGAATATAAAGTCTATAAAGGAACTTGACGCCTTTCCAAAAATACCAGAAACTTATGTCGAGCAGTCAGCAGTTGGAGGGACCTGTGAGTTTGTAATGTAATTAATTATTATAATAAAAGTCCTATGAAAACCTAACCTCAAAATACTGTTCTGACTCTTTTTAGTTTCTGTGTTCGTTTTCATCGCTATTTCCTACCTCATCTTCTCCGAGACGAGGTACTTTCTAGACAGCAGACTGCGATTCCGTTTTACACCGGATCATGAAATCGATGCCAAACTCAAAATTAATGTCGACATAACAGTGGCTATGCCGTGCAGCAGGATAGGAGCGGATGTATTGGACTCTACGAATCAAAATTTAATTGGTTTTAAACCCCTTAAGGAAGAGGACACGTGGTGGGAGTTATCACGAGAACAGCGATTACATTTTGATGCTTTGAAACACGTTAACACCTACCTCAGGGAAGAGTATCATGCAATTCACGAACTTCTATGGAAGTCTAATCAAGTTACTCTTTTCAGCGAAATGCCAAATAGGTAGAGTGCCGATAGCAATAAAAAATAATAAGACAAAAAGTTAGGATGAGAAAAAATATTTAAAATTATATATTTCAGGACAATAACTCCAAGTTATCCTACGGATTCCTGTCGTGTTTACGGTACCTTGGAGGTGCACAAGGTGGCCGGTAATTTTCATATCACTGCCGGTAAATCGTTATCACTGCCACGCGGACACGTACATATATCCGCGTTTATGACGGATAAAGATTATAATTTCACTCACAGGATCAATCGATTCTCCTTCGGCGAACCAAGTCCTGGAATCGTTCATCCTCTCGAGGGTGATGAAAAAGTCGCCACTGATAGTACGTATAATTGTCCATAGTAAATTGAAATAATCGGTGGCAACAATTTGTGGACGCTATTCCTAATTATTTTCAATTTTAGATATGATGCTGTATCAATACTTTGTGGAAGTGGTACCCACGGATATCAGCACGTTACTCCGAACCTCAAAGACTTATCAGTACAGTGTGAAAGATCACGAGAGACCAATAAATCATCACAAAGGTTCTCACGGTACTCCAGGAATATTTTTCAAATACGACACCAGCGCTTTAAAAATCGACGTAACGGAGGAGCGAGATTCGCTGAGACAATTTGTGGTTAAGTTGTGCGCTATTGTTGGTGGTGTGTTTGTAACAAATGGTAAGCGTCATTAATAATAATAATTTAATTGCATACCTAATTCTGCTATAAAAATACTGAATCAAGTATCTTTTAACAGGACTGGTGAAAGCTGCAGTACAAAGTTTCTGGTATTTGATGTCGTGTAAGTTCATGAAAGAAAAGGGTAGCAGTGATAAAAAGGTGAACCCTCCTTCGCAAGAGAGTTTCACAAAATTACAAAAATCTATCGAAACAAATGAATTATTAAAGGTGTCGAATAGCATGAACGTAGATTTGGCAGTGAATGTGCAATAAACGCGTGTTTCATTAATATTCGTGTTATAATTCATTTATTTATGTTTTACCACAAAAAACAACGATCAATCAATTGATTGTACCGTTCGATCGTCACGTGATATCGTTTCTTTGCATTCGCAATTTTTTCATTCTTTTCTTTCATTTTGATTGTACACGTTACAATAATTAAGGCAACAGTAAGCTGTACACATGATAATCAGCCACAGCATTGTAGTTTTCTTTAAGATATAGTTTCCAAAAAATAATGTATGTCATTCAGTTACATTTAACACGATAACGCTTATTCGCACGACTATCACACATCGCAGTTCGCAGAGATAAGAAAAATGATAATCGATACAGATTTTCTTTTCTTCCTTTTAGAAATCTCGACTTCTCCAATAGGTATAGCAATGCAAGATATTTCCTGATAACCCGTGAGAAACGCAAATTTCTTTCATCTGTGCACAATAAGTACAATTGTGACTGTCGTATACGGATAAAGTAACGTACCAAGAATTTCCAGAAATATTTCTTTTCTTTTTCTCCAAAAATGTATCCCTTTTTTATCCACTGAAATGTAGATATGTAATAAGGCGATACTTGCTCCTTTCACTAATAAAAATTGCATAACTACCGGCTGCTGATATATCAAATAAAGATTAGACCGAGATTTAACATAAAAAGAGAAGACAAAAATAAAAATGGAAGGTCTCCGGGAAGGAGCGCGATAAAAAAAACTTCATAGCTTTAGAATAGAGAAGAGAACAAAATAAAGAAATATCATACACATTCGCGCAATTCTCAGTCACTCGTAAATTCATCACTTTGCACATCTTAGGTAACACTGCGAAAGCCGAAAGGTCTTACCGGATTACGCGAGACTTCGTAAAATTTGACATTATCCTAAAATTTAACGACGAAACTCGCGTTTCCGATCAAACGATTCGCTAACTATATAATCGTAGGAACGCCGAAAGAAAACTTGAGCGTTCCTCTCTGTTAACATTAATTAGAAATATAGGTACGTGGATTTAGCGTACGACAAAATGGACGGTCTCGTTCGTGCGCCGGAAAATAATGTAAAGTGGAGAAAGAGTAGAATCTAGCAAAGACAGAAGGGATAGAATGGCACGAAGAAAGAGCCGTCCCAGGACCCGGATCTCGATCTTCTTAAGCATAAAAAAATAAATTACAATAATAATGATCGCGAGCATCTCGTCGGCCATTATATCATGTACAGTGAATACTATATGTTATATATAGGTATTAAGTGTATATAAATATATTTTAAAGTATAGCATCTCTTACGTTAGACTCATAAACGAAGGGAAAGGATAATAGGAGTAACGTGTGGGTTATGACGAGGGGATAGAGGGTGTGGAGGGATGGGGTGGGGGACCAGCTCCTTTGTAGTTTATCATTAAAATGCCGCCGTGGGCTTAACGCTGATAAAATGGCACACCTAGAGGTGACGGTAGAATAATGGGAAATGATCAGTAAACGTTAGAGATCGATTCTCACGATTCATTCCGATTTCAGTAGTATGGAAAAGCTTAGCAGATCCTTAAGTTATTGTCGTCGGCATTCTAAGCACCAGATAATACAATGAGAGATTAAGGAGCTCGTCCCTCGTGTACATAGCGTCTTCACCCTATTCGATATATATATAATTATAGGATCATTCATAATTAGTATCCACTCATGATTACGCTTGTCTCTTGAATCTTCTCGCTATCGGTCATCGTCTATGATAAACGAGAATTTATAGTAAAATAATTTTATATACTTTTTAAGAGATACCAAGTCAATTGGATTGTCATCATCAATTTTCTTCAAGTACTTTCTCTCACTGACTGATTTCTGCATTCCAAGAGAAGATGGAATGCACCGGGTTTATTCGCACTGGGACATCAAGAATAACTCCTGAGAACTTTGATGACCGATAATGAGGAGTAATCGCAATGCCTGAGTTTCTTCCATTTTTCTTTATCGAAGAGCACTTTCGTTAGGCACCACAGTACCCTTTAGAGTAAAATATCCACCATGATGCCAGCTGGTGTGTACGCTTTGGCTTCAGCAATTTACCTAGAACAAAACAAATAATCTGTTAACGCAGCTTGTTGATTGCACATGATAATGGAAATGTTCCTTGCTCTATCGATTGACAGTCAATAGTCAGTTGCGTGAAACAACTGATTTACTATATAATACCGTGTTTTTCTTACCTACATAAAATTTTGTCTCGAGTTGATTAAAGATTCGTCAACGAGATGTAGGATGTAACGACTAGAAGAAGTGTGAAACCCAAGACCAGCCTTGACGAAGCCGAGCCCGTTGCTGTATTAAAAAAATATATTATCGGTATAATAAAATATCCATATTATTGTCAGACTAATAGACACCAGTAAACACCAGCAAAGAAAAATAAAAACACACCATAATCTGGTTTTTCTACCGATTCATATTCTGCAAGTGAAAAGAGAAGCAAAAAAGGAGCATAAAAATAAGTGGAAATAAGTCATAACCATAAAAATATACGAGTAACGTGGATAAATGATAATTTTGAAAAATACATCATTTCCAGATAATTTACCTCCACTGAACGTGACTGGCTCCTTTGCCGACCAGCCATAATCATTTTTTGCAATCAGGATCGCCTCGTATACCCCAGATTCCAATTCTTTCAATGGATGCTCAACTGTGTAGAGTGTTTCACCGGCTCCTTTACCGTCTATCACTCTAGGCGTCTCGTCTATCCAGGAACTCTCACCCTTGCGACGATATTGCAGCTACAAATGATTTCTTGGGTTTAGAAAAATCTGCTTATCCGAATTAAAGCAATGCCGTATGCATTATATAAGAGATTTACCTTGTATTCAGTTATCGGGGAGAAAGATTGCAGCTGCCATTTTAGAATCAAAGTGGTGTCATTAGCAACTTCTCCACCAGAGAATCTTGCTTTGGTTGGTACTCCTAATATGACATTACGTTAGCAATTAATTGACAGCGCAAAAGAAGGATCTACGTTACCGACAGCTTCTAATAAAACAGTGTCATACCTGTCAGAGTAACATTTCGACTAGTAGTGCCCAATGCATTCGATGCCTGACACGTGTACGTGGCAAAGTCATCATTCGTAGTACGCTTAAGTACGAGTGTATGTTTCGAACCATTGTTCTTCATAAAAATTCTGTCCTTTGGGTCTATATGTTTCTTATTCTTGAACCACGTGACATTGGCATGGGGATGAGCATGAACGATGCAGGTAAGTTGAGAATCCTTTCCCATGCCGGTGTGCACAGCCTCCTGCTCCACCTGGACTTCCGGTGGATCTAAAATAAAAGGTAATCAAATTATTTACAATAAAAAGTTTCTAACCACGAACGATCGATAAACGAACACGTCGAAGGAATAAAATGACGAATTAAATCGACAAGAGTTATGAGAATACAAAAACCAATCATTGACTATTTATAATGGCAATGAATAAATTGGATGACTAATAACGTTGCTGGACAATAAGGAAAACATTCCTGGAGCATTTATTAAACTCACAATTAACGACAAGCTCGATGAAGTCATGAAGTGGAGTCTTTGTGTGATCATTAATTAAACATTGATAACGGCCGGCATGATGTCTGGTTACTTTATGAATCTTAATGATATTTCCGTGAACACTTTCATCTCCAATGGGCAATCGTTCTCCCTGTGAAAATATAATTAAGGAAAAGAAAATAATTAAAATTATTTTTAAAAAATCAGAAGGCTTTTTAAATTTCCTATAGTTCAATCTACCTTATAAGACCACTTGATATCCATATTCGGATACCGATTAAACTTGCATCCAAGCTCCACATCCTCCCCGTATTTCGCTACCGTGTGCTTCGAAGGCGTCAGTGTAATCTCAGGTACGACAAATACTCTGTGCACAATCTCAGTGACAGGAATAGTTGACAATTTACAAACATAATTCTCCGAAGCGTCACTGGCGGTTGCATTGTGAATTACTAAGGTGTCGTCACCCTTTATTATTCTAGATTGTTCAGTAGAAAATGAATTATCGTTAATGTAGAGGAGCTCGCTGTTCCTCGTCCATGAAACATCGACGGCATCTGAAAAATCAAAGAAATTCACATTTATATAAGAGAACCATCCTCGCAAACATTTTTTATAGATCCTGCATATAGCTATGTTAAAAATGACTCCATACCTGCGCCCTTCATTACACAGGGTAATACGATAGTGTCGCCAAGTACTACGGTAATGGTCATAGGTTGAGATAAAATTTTCGGTGGTTCTGCGCTATACTGAGAATCCTCAGTATTGGGTTCTAATGGGCCGTAATCATCCTCGGAAATGTCTTCATCTTCAGGATAATCATTTTCAGAATCCGTGTTGGGTCTGGACCATCCTGTAACATGGATGAACGCATATACTTAAAAATATAATAATACCACCAGCAATAAGATAGCCAACGAAAGAGAAGAGATACTCGGTGGCAGTAATGAAAGTGAAAAATAGATTCCAGTTAGTCTCGAGGAATTTTTCTTAGAGGCTGCTCTTGGTCGAAATTAGATTTCTAGCACGCGACCGCTCCTATTTCAATTCTAATAATATCGAGAGGCACAACAGTACAGTAAGGTAGCCATTAACCCTCGTAGCTTCCTGCAACTCGGGCGGATAAAAGCCTCTGGCGAAAAGGTGAATAATGACGGCACACGGATAGAGGTAGGGAGAATACAAATAGGGGTTGAAGGAGGGGTGTAAAAAAAAATGAAAAAGCAAAGACAAAAGTTCGCAAAAGAAAACAAAGTGCCCATGCCCCTGCGTGCCAGCGGACCGTTCCGAACTCTTCTCCCCATATATCGCTCATCCTGGCTGCCACGCCCTAACACTCTTAAAAACTAGGTCGAGTAAATCTACCCCTTCCGATATCCATCCCTTCGAACTCATAAAGTTCCTCGACGAAATTCACGACGACCCCTGACCAAGTAGAAATTCACGGAAGACACAGACACCAAAGCCTTTCCCAACTTCGTGTAAATTTTACGGCCACTGCAAAGTCATTAAACCAGCTCAACGTGTGCCGTTTCTTCCGGTTGATTCTAGAGCGCAGTTCCCCATAGATACACGTACCGAGTTCCAGTGGTGAATACCACGGCAGCTAGGGAAGCATGACCGAGGGGGATGGATCTAGGTTAATGGTCGACGAGTAGCAGCCCCACGTGGCGTCACTTCAGTCTCAAACAATTATTTTCCATCCCCCATGACAGGCGCCACGATTCTGCCGAGAACCAACACCAATAGAGAGGTTTAACGAAATAGGTTTAACGAGACTCTCGGTTTAACGAAATAGGATAAACGCGAGGTAGAGATTCCGCGAGGGTTCATAAAAATTCATTTAATGGCAGGGGATGGTTGGTTAAAAACAAAAAGTTGGGCCACGGACACGCAGCCGTAGTATTAAGGGTGCGGTCATAGTTCACGAGTCAATAGATCTTTCAGTCTTCGTTTCACGTGAAGCTGTTACGCAGGGGTTGGTCGGTGTATTTCGAGCACCGCCTCACCCAGCACATCCCCCGGATATTTATCGTCCTGTAATTGACAAGTCGTCATGTAACGGACTCCTGGTGCGACGCTTGACCTTGCTGGCACGATATATATATATACTTCATCACGGAACACGCGGTGCCGTATCTTGTCATATGAAATTGCGAGTGGCTGGATCATCGTCCCTTGGGACGATTCGAATGAAATTACGACAATCGTAGAACGGTATAACTGTAACAGGGAAATCAAAGAACCGTAAGCGCATATCGGTTACGAATTATGGACACGCGTTGCACGGGTGACGTGACCGCGATGGTAATTATGAGTCCGCCCAAAAAGTCCTGACGCCAAGGATGACATCGTGTACTGATGTCATCGGTCTAGGGTGACATTGTTTTTTGTCACGTTCGAACATCCAAACCATTCCAAATACGGAATCGTACGAGGAATCTGAAATGGGGTCGGACGTTTGACATTATTGCAGTTGTGGGTGTGCCTCCCCCACATCCTTAGCAGGACGAACGATTCTGGTTGATTCGAAGAATTATATCCTGGACAGTCCCAGGCTTTGACTTACGACTTAATGAAGCACGGGGAATCCATCTAGAGGGGATTGGCCGGATTTAACAGCTGTCATTGAATCATCTCGAGAACGTAGAATTTAATGTTTTCTTCTAGGTGCGAGTTTTTCAATTTTCAGCAAAGAAAAAATTGCGAACAAGATCGAAGGAGCGGGAAAAAATTGAGGATTTTCGAGTTTTCTATGCTTACTGCGAGTGCGAGAGAGACGGAACTATTGGCACTTCCGCGTGTAAGAAAGAGACAGGCGTACTTTTACCACACTGTCTCTGAAAAAGGGGGCGGATGACAGGAGAGGCATAATAAATTTTTATAAATTTAATTGTACAATAAAAAAATTTGTTTTTTGTTTCTTTGATAAATTTTCAAGAAACGTTCGAAAATTGTAAAATTTTCTTGAACTTGACAATTGGCAAATTATGTTCAACCAAAAAAAATTGTCGCGTTCCACGCTGAAATCTGACAATTTCTCCAAACTGAATAGTCCTGCGTATCATTTAAGGCCAACGTGGACAATTAATCCGGCAAACGTTCCCATTAGCTGGAATTAACTCGATTCCTTCCAGAGGACAGATACACACTGTCTTCTCCAGTCCCCGAGCCAAGAAACCAGTGATGAATTTGTTCGACCAAACATGGCGAGGAATCGGGTCAGTGGCTGTCATACGTCCCCCGTTAAAACCCGATGACGAGATTTCAGCTTTTCGGCCCGATGAGATAATTCTCTGTCCCATTTCAGTGTAAAAACGTAAGAGCCAACCATAACCGGAAAAATGCGGCGTGATTGATAAATATCCACTAACCGCCATGAGCGATGATAAGCATTGTAAAAAAATGAATTACAGGAAGGTTTACGAATTAATTATTAAAAACCACAATGACCACCAGGCGGTATCGGCCAACTAAATATAAATCAGCACTAATGACGATTCCGACTAATGGAAACGTAAACACGGAATTAGCACGTAATCTTGGTATACTGTTTGTCTTACCCTTTAGCGGCCAACGAAGTCGCGCACGCTGACAGATAACGTCCAGCGTCCTACAGCGTGGTTAAATTGCGTTCCTCTGTGGTCAGTCGGTTGCATCGTTCGTTAGCTGTGACGGTTGATGAATACAAAACGAGTGACGTCACTCGAGCCAACTTATTCCTACCCCGGCAGTCTAAATTCCCTCACGACTTAATAGTTATTATTACCGAAAGGCACGCACTTCTGCCTACTGGAATTGACTCACTTCTTTCCCTGAAGAGGCGCGCGCGTCGTCCAGCGATCCGCCTCGGGAGTACGTACAATCGTATGATAAAAAGCAACCGGTAGGAATAACAAGAAAGGCGGAAACGGGGAGTGTCGCCAATTGGTCTGCGTATCACGACCCGAGCGTTAGCCGTTGTCCCCGCACGTAGCTATCCTGAGCATTTCTTTCACGGCTCGTACCTCCAGCCCATGAACCTAAGAAAACTGTAATACCGACCGTACCAATAGGTTTGTACACCCCGAATCAGACACTCGTAACATATAGAACCCTGTACCCGATGCATGGAGCGAGTAGCGACATCCTCTGGATCAGGCAGAAATAACCGTGTCCGGTGAAAGGGCAAAAGGAAGACACTGGAGAAGGAAGGGTTTGGCCCTCGGCCAAGAGGGAAGGAAAAAGCAGAAACGCGTTTCTCGCCGGGAAGCAAAACTCTGCCGGTCGTTTCGGTATCCAAAGTCTCAGTGCTGCCGTCTTAGTCAAAGGGAGAGGAAGCGTCAATGCACTGTAAACAAACCCCTAGAGGTTCCACTGCAATAGCGGATTCCCATAATAGATTTGATGCCCGAGATCTACGAGGCTTCGGCATTCGTACTGGTCGTCTACGGTGCAGTCGGTACTGATATACCCCGAGCAGAGAGACAAGAACGACTCGCGGACTCGGACAGAGACCATACATTCGTAAATAAGAATTACATAGCAGGGGAATTCGTATTGGCTGCTTTTCGTGTCGTATTTTCGTCGTAGCCTCGATAGCATCACGTCTCGATTTAGAGCTTACTAATCCATATGCTAGGCCAGTTTAAGTTTGTGGGTTGCGAGGCGACCATGATAGAAAAATTATAAGGCGGATGCGAAAGCGATAGGTACATACACAGAGGATTAAAAAAGCCCGAACAGACCATGAATAAGAGAAAGAGTAAGAGAGTATAAAAACGAGGAAGCCGCCTCGCTGGACAAGTGTCAATATTACGCCATACGACAAACTGCGAAGAACCCATGAGATTCCTTGCCGTTTACGCGAGACTTTATAAATATCGGCTAGCCGTGTAGAAAGGCATCGCGCAAAAAATTAAACGATATTATATCCTGACCCAAATCCTAAAGGCTTTTCTCTTAGCAACCCGTAGGTGTCGCCAGGCTACTTTGGTAGGAATAAATCGACTGCCGTGTCCTCCGTCGACGTGTAGTACCCGACGGCCGTCGAATGTAAAAGGAGAAATTTATTTAACGCATACTACAGCTGTACCAGAAGTAATGGATGCACTCGCGCGTCTTCCCGGCAAGAATTTAAAGTTGCCGAGCAGGTTCCCTTCGCCAATGGCGACGGGCTGGTATCGTGGAACAATGAACTTGGTGTAGAGAGAGAGAGAGAGAGAGAGAGAGCGAAGAGCCTCATGCTGAACTCCGATCACGATGTCGTTTAACCCCTACACACGTAGCGAGTCCGAGGGTCTAATGCTTTCCCTTGTTTGGAGAAGCCCTCGCTGGGAATCAAGAGCCGCAGACGGGACGAGAGCGCGTCGAGGCTAATCGCAGCTGCGTTACGGAAGGACGCGCTGGGCTGCTATCGCGAGCGAATTGAATGAGACAGCAGGAAGTTAAAGAAACGCGGACTACGCATAGGTGCTGATTTCGTAATACGTTGGCTCTGCCGGATTCCCACGCATCTCGAAGAAATGTCATCGCGGACAGCTGTGCGGGGACGGGTGCTCATCACGGAATCGTGAGTCACGACGTGGATGACCAATTTAAAGATTAATTGAGACTCGGTCTCTAGTCCATTCTATTTCCTTATATTGTTGCGAGCATGTGTGGATATATCACGTATGCTTACCGTAGCGCTGGACAAAGGTGCTGACTATCTGCCTCATTACCATCCCTATCGACACGTCCCACCGACCTCCTCCCTTCACCCCCTACGATCGTCCACGTGGAATTCGATCCGGTTTATCAACATCCGTTTCAAACGCGAGAGTCCGTAAGCAGATGCACGGAGTCTGTCTGGACCGTGGTGACAATAAATTA